CACACCCTTTTTTATATATTACTGTTCTTTGAGCGTCCCATTGCTACACAAAAAAATTTCAACTTTCTAGCTCCTACAGTCGCTGTGGAGTTATTAGTTTTACATTATCAAAAAAGAACCGTATTTACCATTAAGATGTATCGAAAATGGATATTTTCAAATAGATAGTTTTCATCCTTTTCCAAGAGCCATTTAAAGTGCTATAATAAATGACAAAAACAATTATCAAAATTAGACAATCCTTTTCTGTAGCATGGTTGAAACTTCGTGTAAATAATCTACACACGGTATGGTTCCATTCCATAGAATTTATCTCATGTGTTCTCAAATGATGAGACATACATTTGTTGAAAAATTTATGTGCCATGATTTTTTTCTTCAATCAGTGTTTATTTTTATTCGGAGCAAAACATGCAGATCATTAAGAAAAAAGTTATTGTCCATTCACATTGCTCGATCTCGATATAAATTCGATAATCAATGGTACATACTCTTTTAGAGCGATCTTCAACAAGTTATCGGCCACTGCCTCACTGTTACAATTCGAATTCCAGCATGAATAATCAATAGCATAAAGATCAGGATTGATAATATTATTACGATGTGACCAAGTTCTAAAAATCACCTGTGTAGAGTTAGGCATCATCATATATGGTGCGTTTATGCATAATCCATAACTAAATTGGCGTTTATTTCCATCAGGAGCCAATGAACTTTGCTTCTGTTCAACTCCAACTTGACAGATAGTAGAACATTCAGTTGTATTATTAGCAGATGTGTAACATTGACGAGATGGACCAGTTGGTTGATCGGACAGATAATCAATCACCCAACTACGAAGATGCAAGAAATCATTAACATCTCCATTAGCCCAGAGTTTTCTCGCAAAAACTAATTCACAACCGATCGCTTCACAATTATAAGTATATCTCGTTTCAATATCAGTATTTGTAATTTTGATCTGTCCGTAAAGTTGTGAGTAACCGTCCATTTTTTCTTCTGATTGTATAGTTTGTCGTTTTCCAATGAGTATAGACTTTTCCTGATAGACAGACAATGTTCGTGTCGAATGTGATACCACTAATACTATGTCACAGATATACGTCATATCGAAGGTTCCCTTTATACATTGATCAGTGTCGGGAAAAGGTTCATCCAATGAAACATTGAAGTGACAATTATCATAACATCCAAATGTACTGTAACCGTAAGTGAGACTAAAGGCAGAGAGAAATATAAGAAAGGTGACTGGCCACATAGCAAAAGTAATAAAATGAATGTTTTTGCCTCTTCTTTACTCTATATGTTAGCTAGAGTGAGAAACAGAGACAGATGTTTGGATTCGTTTGAAACACGTCGATGTAATTCAATCCTACAGATGCAAATCAGAGTGGATGATAGTGCAGATGACGGTGAATTAACGAAAAAAAAACTAATCATTGGTGAAATAAAATCAAAGAAGAGTATTACGATCTGATTAATAGAAAAATATCATTTTTCTAGTGACTTTTTGATGAATTTGAACTCGTTTTGATTAAGTTTTTCGAACAGAAAAGAATTGTTTGTTACAATCTCTGTAGATACATATTTAAATGTTATTTTAATTATACTCAAGCGACATTAACTTCGTTGTCATCAATCGATGCATCTGTAAAGCTTCCATATCGCACAACAAATGTCATAACACAATTGATGACTCGTGTTCCTACAGGTAGAGACTAATTATCTGTTACGTAGCACCAAGCTAATGTATAGTTGATTTGACCGGTAGTGACACTGGACAACACTAGCAGTATCAATGGAAAGTGCAATACCACTCTTTTCCCAAAATCAAATTGATACATATAATGAACCAAAATCAAATTGTGTGCTTGAAAATATATTCGTTAAAGATATTTTCTGATGTAAGAATCCGCCACTATTGCTTCCATACACTTGACATCCATAGATATCGTGAACCAAACTCAGCTCCACAATTGATCAGAAAACCTGATTGTGCAGTCGCTGTCACGTCTGTTGCTACAAAGTTATATACACAAAAATTAGCTGTAACTCGGCTTGATCTCATTTGAATTGACAGAAAAGTTTTGCATTTACAGAGAGTATCACGGGTTTGATGGCAACAGTTAACATAAAAAGTGAAATGTACTGAATTTATCTTAATGAAAGATGTTTTATAGGCATCAATCACTTTCCTCCAGGATACTAATCAAAAGACTTACCTGAATCAGTGATAAGAAAAGCTGAAGTGTTGTTCGTAAATGTTAAATCTTCTGTAGTGATGATGGGAGATACTAAATGAAAGATTGAATTGTGTATACATTATATGAATATAATGGGTGTCCCATAATGAATGCTCGGGTTTTATATTTCTTTTTTTTACTATCTCTAACATTAATTTTACAAATAAAACATATCATCAGATGCAATATGAATCACATGCTATAATTTATTAACAGATACAATAAGAATAAGATATAGTGGAAGAAAGCAATCCAAAAACTGCCCATCTATTATAGGATGCCCATTAAGTTATGGTCTCTTGAACTTTTCCTCATGATCTATTTTCAATCGTTGAAACACAAGTATTCAGTTTTATTTCAAAGGAAAAATAAGGATCATCACGAAAATAGTTTCGATTCATTCATCTTGCTCGATGTTGATACGAAGTGAGCAATCAATAGTGTATATTCTTCTAGTACGATATTCAATAAACGATTGGTTACTAATTCACTGTTACAATAAGAATTCCAACAAGAATAATCAATACTATATAGAACAGGATGGACAAGATCAAAACTATATAACATAGTTGCGAAATACATCTCTGTAAAATAAGATGTCATTTCATGCGGTAAGCATTGTCCGTATATCACTTCCAGTTCGTTCCCATCAGGAGCAAACACACCTTGATTTTGTGAAGCTCGAACTCTACAAATGGTAGAACATCTAGTAGTCTGTATAGCTGATGTGTAACATTGACGAGATGGAGTGTATTGATCTGATAGATAATCCTTCATCAGACTTCGAAGATGTAAAAAGTCATTGACATCTGCATTGGCCCAGAGTTTCTTCGCAAAAGCCAATTCACAACCGACCTCTTTGTACTCATAAATATATTCGGATTCGATATCGGTGTTTGTAATAGTGAGGTATGCATGAATAAGAAAGTCAACGTCGATTTCTTCTATCGACTCTTCAGCTTGACGTTTTCCAACGATTAAATACTTGTCTTGATGAACAGATAATGTTCGGATCGAATGCGATATTACGAGTGTGATGAGACAGTCATATGACATGTCATAGATGGCTTTCATACATTGATCAGTATCGTGGAAAGGTTCATCCAATGAAACATTGAAACTACAACTAGGGTGTGGGTGTGGGTGTGTGGATGTGAGTCGTAGATTCACCCACATCCACCCATACCCACACCCATACCCTAAGTTAAGAAAAAAGTGCAATCAATATTTAGTATAATTAATACAAGTTTTTTCTCGTTGAATATGGACAAAAAAACGAGTATATAAATCAATGAATATTTAGTTTTGAATAGTGTTTCCATTATGGTGATTCGTCTATTTGATTATCATCATCTTCCAGACGATATTCATCTTTCAACGTTTTCAAATCATTTTTTGCATACTTATTTGAATGATCTTTTGCCTCTCTGTTGTAATCATTCGGACTTTCCTTATACAAATGAGCTTTTTCACACGATATGGCATCATCAAAGTTTGGCTTCTTAAGAAGATTAAGAATATTTTCGAAAATGACACTCATCTTCGTTTGCATAAACCAACATCGCCCAAGAATTTGATGACAAATTTTTCCATCACCACTAATATTAACATGATATATAGGTGTAACAAAACGAACATTTGGCGGGCAGTTTGGATAATGTGAATCAAATTCAACATATAGCATCCAAAATTTTTCTTGATAAGGAGTTTCTTCAGATCCTTTCAAGATCACTTTCCAAAAGGCAATATTTTTGGGAACAGCAAAAACAACAATATCTTCTGATGGATACTTTAACATTGCATGTAATTCGTTTAATATACGACGTGAACGTGATGAATTTTGTATGGCGTTATCTGATGGTAGTTGTCGATTCGCTTTTTCTTGAAAAGCTGAA